TATATATATATATATATATATATATATATATATAATATATATGTGTACATATATATTATGTATAAATGGAAACGTATTGTATCAGTGGCTCTTGTTCTTGCCCATGTGCTGCTTGGTCCTGGTGTGGTTCTTCAGTATGAGCTGGGCTAAAGCTTAAAGTGACCCACTATCTTGTGACACTTCGCCTGCACATCATTAAACCCACAGTCCTCAGTGCAATCAACGATGGTTCTCTGTAAAACGGGAGCAACACAAGGCATGTGCTGGAATGGCAGCTATCTTGTTGCAGCCGTCATGGTTCGGGTGCAGTCTGCTCCACTTGTGGTGACACTTTGTTCACTTCCCCAGGCCTCTGCGACAGAAAAACACTCTGCACATTTTGCAGCATGGTGTCTTTCTTCTGTACTGTTAGGAAGAACGACCGAATACTCCCTTCCATATTTACACAGCTCTCTAACTGTGAAACTTATAATAACCAATAATTCACTGAGTGCATCGTGCTTCTGTTCCATTCATTTTACTTTATATTACACACGTTTTTAGGAATTAATCTTTTTATAACCATGTAATAATTATTTGTACCTAAGTTGCACCAGACTAGATCCAAATCTGAATTAAACAGTTGAAATGATTTTAAACTCTTCATTAAAAAAAAACTAAATATATAAAACACATTCTGCACTTTGCCCGTCAAAAAGTTTTAAAGAAAGGTCTTGCAACATTACTTCCACATCAGACATTATCTCAATATCTGTAAAAATTAACGACTTACAGCCGTTTTGTGTTCGCTAAGATAGTTTAGCTGTGGCAGCCATTTTGAATGGAGTTGATTCCAAACGTTCATCAATTATCTGTGCAATGATTACTTTCTAGGAGTTTTGTTAAAATCAGTTTGTTGGTTCATGAGCCATTTTGCCAACTAAGTCTTTCACAACTTACCAGACTTTATTCTGCTTGTTGCAACAGTTTTTAAATGTGCGTCTTGCATCAAATTTTAAATCAGTTTTTCCTTTAGAACGACAGTTTCCTTAAAGCTAGCTGAATGAGTTCAGTTCTGTAATGTGCACTTCTTTTTTTTAAAACATTTTTTCTCAGAGGATTAACAGTTTTAAAAGCTGTAAAAATAAATTTGACTGTGAATAACATGTGTTTGGTAGAGTGTCTCCTTGTAAACCATTACTTTAACATAATTTGTGTGTGCTTGCTCCTCCTCCTCCTCAGTCCTCATTCTCCAGCCAGTGGAGCGGGCCGAGCTGAGTGGGAAAACCCTAAAGATCACAGACTTCGGTTTGGCTAGAGAGTGGCACCAGACCACCAAGATGAGTGCAGCGGGGACGTACGCCTGGATGGCCCCAGAGGTCATCAAGCAGTCTCTCTTCTCCAAGAGCAGCGACGTGTGGAGGTGCAGCGCTCTTATCTTATCCATCAAATGCTCTTCATGCTGCATGTGTGGTACTGACAGAAAGCAGAGGCGTTTATGGTCTTTTTCCTTACAACGAGTCACAAGAGAGGCTTCTGATCATCATAAAATTCATTCTGCGGTGACAGAACCTCACACTAATGTCACGGAGAACTGTCCTCACGCGACATGTGATGCTGATCCCACAGACGCCTAAAATCCACAGAGCTTTTTAAACACTGATAAACTCTCCTCATAAACTGTCTGCTCAGGTGAACCGGCGTCATTTAGACACAAAGAATAATAAATTGAAGTTACGCATCAACACGTGTCTAAGTCGCTATTTGGAGAACAGGTTCACTTTACTTTAATTAACTATGAGCTTATGCACACTGCCAAGAACAGTTTTGTTGTAACTGTTTCGGCTCAAAATTGAATTCACACAATTTTTAACTAATGTTTAAAGTTCACCAAAACGTCAGAATTAAAATCGCAGCTGCAAAATGAACAAAGTCACGTTTATTTATTAAATATTCCTAAGATGAAAACATTCAGAATGTTTGTTTATTTTGGTGTATGACTTCTTGTTCAATCATATTACATCATGTAGCATTTGCATCATTTACTTCTATCTGTTTCCATGTTTTGCTCTCTGTTAAACAGATACTAAATTTCAATGCGGAAAAGTTCACAAAAACACTGCGCTTAAGGCTTATTTGCATATATATTCTGGTTTTGCTGTTAGAAAGCAAAAATGTCATACACTGTTGCCGACATGCAGTCCAGTAGGACTCGCTTTCAGAGAACTGTGAGGTTATATTTCTGCTACAAAAATAACTAGTGTACTCAAATGCAGCATCCATTGACAACCCCACATTTATGTAAATAAAATATGTTTGTGCTGTTACTAGTGGCTACTAACATGTACAATGATCAGTCAAAGAGAAATGTTTGAAGGAGAATTTCTCAAGTTTTTATCCAAGCTCTTCTATGTCCCCTGCAGGCTGAGATTTTTGCAAAGTTTGTGGCTAGAGCTGAGCATGCCGACGCATCTCGGCATAAGCTTTTAGTTTCAGCGGTTAAGGGCTGGAACTGCAGTTTAGTTGAGGGGAAAAGGCATCCAAAGACCCCTGCATTCATTGTGGTGGGGAAATATTATCAAATTCCTTCTGCAAGAAACGCTTAAATGCCTGTCTGACAGTTTGCTGAGACAATTCACGCATTTAAATAATGTTTAATGTTGTGCTATGTTCAAATTTGAAAAATAATGGCAGATTGATTTGAATATCTTCTGAAAAACAGTGAAAAAATTATTATTTTTTGTTTAACTTGACCCCAAATGCAACACCTTTAACGAAAAAAGACATGGGCCGAGGATGGAACCATGAGGAACGCCACATATATATGCCATGTTGTGCATGAAGAATACAGATCTATGTAGACAGATAAGCTCTTGTCTGTAAAACAGCTGTGGAACCATTCATTTAATGGATGGTTTAATCCTTTAACCTTTTAAGTCATGATAAATGAATTTCCCAAATCATCAGTTAAAAGAAGTTAATCTGAAACCCTTCAAAAAGCTCTTTCAGTACACGTACTGGTAAAAATTATAGACTGAAACCTATCATAGATACAAATTTCATCCAAAAAGTATCAATTGAAAACACAGCCTCAGTTATTATGGAGATAATTAAATTCTGATGTATGTCTGGATGCACAACCCCTGAATTTTGTGGTAAATGTGTCTCTTACTGTCTTGGATCACAGTTTCGGTGTGCTCCTCTGGGAGCTGCTGACCGGAGAAGTTCCTTACCGGGAGATAGATGCCCTGGCGGTAGCTTATGGTGTTGCCATGAACAAGCTGACCCTTCCAATCCCGTCAACCTGCCCCGAACCTTTCGCTCAATTGCTGGGAGGTAAGGCGCCACCGGCTGAACAAAAGATGATACTTATGTATACATCCAGCAAAAAATGGCATGTTGGGTGTAAACATGCAAGCTACAATATGTGAAGGACACTGCCACCGCTGTTACACTTTTCTTCTTCATGGTTTGAAAGTCTCTGTTTGTCCTTGTGCTTGTGTCTGATTGTACTGGACACCAGTCATCCAACATGACCTTAAACATGTCGCTGATGATGCAGAAAGTCATTTTAAACAAAGACCCTCAGGCTGCTCACATCCACTGACTTTAAGGTTGCATAACTGTGCTGCAAACGTTAAGGTTGCAAGTGAAGTAAATTAGGAGATACAGGCTGATATCCGATATGCTGATATGTAAAAACTTATTTGGCCGATAGCCGATACCAATACCGATATTTTTCCCCTAGACCTACTTACAGAGACTACATGGCTTTCTCTGCTGTGGAATTAAAATACTACATTATTCTGCATGGTCTTTGTCAGTTTGGCCTGCTGCCAAATGCAGATGCCAAAATGGGGTCTGAAAATGATGTAATACTTCAACTTGGATTATGTTTAATGTCAAATTTATTCATGATACTTACTCTCTCGAACACAATGACAACACTAGAACAGTGCACATTTGGAAATTTTCACAATTCTAAGCTCAACTGCACGTGTGACGTCGTAACGCTGCAGGTATCCTTGTCACTGGGTTGTCATACAAAAACAGCACCTTATATATAGAGTACATTACAGTAGGATGGATAGATGGATGGATGGATGGATGGATGGATGGATGGATGAGCGCCTTTTATATCTGTGAGTTATTTTGATGGAATGGCCAATATCCAATATTTAACTTTATCGCTAATATCGGCCGATACCGATACCATGCCGAT